AATACGTAAAATCAATTTTCATACATTGCAGTTGTTCTCTTAATTTTAATCTAATTATTAATCATTAACAAAAATGATTAAAACAATAATAATAATTGTTTTATTTTTAATTTAAAGAAATACAATGCAAAAAAATACTTATTTAATTTTTAATACTTAAAAGAAAAGTCCAAATGTAATGTTTAACTATTTTTAATTTAACAATGGTAGGAACTTGAAATCATTAAAATACATATTAGGAAAATTCAAGTAAATTATAATAAAAAGGTTTAAATATTAATAAATTCTTAGAAAACAAATAATACCGCAGAAAGCATAATTCACGTTAATTTAAAAAAAAAATTATTTTAATTTTTTCAATTGATCAACAAGTTAAATCATTTATTGTATATCGATAAATCATTATTAACACAAAGACTTATATTAATTAAAATTTTATAGCTTTATTAAAAAAAAAGTTTTACTGTAATTTTTCTTTCAATTTTTCTAATTAAAAATATTATTAAAATTTTATCGACTATAAGTGCGATACATACAGGTATTTTACACTGATTTACATTTTAATTCAGAGTATGAAAAGTATAATTGTTGTAAATTAAAAGTGTTATCATTCTTTTTATTTAAATAATTTATAAAACAAAATTTATCATTTTTCTTATCACAACCTAAAAAAATTTTCAAAAATATATGCATATAAATGAACTAAATCTGACACAATGATCTCATATAACATTATAATGCTTTCTTTCGTATCTTCTCATCTGAACATTAATGTCGTGCAACATGCGAGCTTTTAATATGATCCTTCACCAAGTATTTGTTATGAACGAAATAAAACAAGCACATTCAAAACTAACCACAAAGGCCGAGACACTTCATTTAAGCAACCTACCTCAAGCCGCACATAAAGATTAATTTTATTTATAATTATAATCTAAGGAAGGACAAATGCTTCTTTTAAAGCAAACAAAAAGTCTGGCAACTACTGATTTTACATTTGTATGTAATGCCTATCTGTTAAGTCAAAATATGTTGACATTTATTACGTTTTCTTAAAATTATATCTTTAATTGATATTACAAGATAATTAATATAAACCACCGAACTAACTAAAAATTATTAGATTCTAAAGACTAATCAAATGTAGAGTTATAACTATTAAACTTTAACAACTTTTATTTTATCCATTAAAAATTGTAAAAATCGTTCAAAAAAATTTACAAGACTATCGAACTATTTTTCTACTTAAATATTTTTATATATTCTGTATATAAAATATAAAAAATATTACAAGAAATATTATAAAAATTACAACATTTATTAGAATATTATTATAATATCAATTATAATATGATTAATATATAGCATTAACTAATTAGTTATAGTACAGATTATAAGGGTGGGGATATATTCATAATGATAAGTTTCAGATGACATTAGAATCTTTTAAGGTAGTATTATTAATATTATAAATAATAGATATTTCATAATTATTATGACTATTGAATAGGTTCTTGCAAACTTTTTAGAATCACTACTTAAAACAAATGACATGTGACTGAGTTCCGAGCACGAAAGGAAGAATAATAAGTGACCCACGTATAGTGTATTTATGCTTCGAGCGTAGTACCAAGTAACAAACCACACAATTCAGTCTTTACGTCTCTTCTGCTTATAGGTAACAAATAAAATAAAGCAATGATATACGACAAAGAGTTGTATTTAAAACATAATTGAACTGTTGTAACAATCTGATGAATAATAGTAATAGATGCTGAATAATTCATTTTTGTTAAAACAGTTGAGTTTTACGAAAGTATCACGAAATGAAAAAAATAATATATATAATTGAATCAATTGATCTTTTTATAAAGACATATTCGGTAATTACAACATAATGTCGGAGTGAAATACATTGTTATTTTATTCTCTTCAGACTTCCAATTATCCTTAAATTTTAAAAGCACATGTGTAATATTTATTTTTTCGTTTTAGTTAAGAAATCTTTAGTATAGTGCACCAATCTTATTATATACACATGTCAAAAGAAATAAAGCAAATATCTCAAATCCGGCAGACTGCCTTCCTACGAAGTAAGTCAACTGTTAATTTCAGTTTAGTGTAAGAGTCTCTTCAAAAGCTTTAATCTAAACATATAAGCTCTAAATGAATTGTAAAAAAGTTAACTGTTTGCTACATTTTTTAATTTCAATAAATATTTTCTTTCATCTATTCTAAATAATATATTACTCACTCGTATCAGATTCTTTAATATACTTTTCATAATACTTACATTTATTATATAAATTCATACAAAATTGATTTCAATGTAAATTTTGAATAAAGTATTCAGAATGCAGTAACTATATATACTCTTATTATCATATAATAATGAAATATAGATAAGTATGTTGCTCCTCGTAATTCTCAAGATAGTAATATTATAATTATTAGATCAACGACAGTGTCGTGTCACTTATTATGGATTAGATTAATATTTCATAAAAGTCATAAGTCATATTATACTAAATGATACGTGTAGTATCAGTTTTAGTGAAATAATTAACGGGTGCAAACGTGAACTATACTATGTAGGTTGTAAAACATATCGTATCCAGAAAAAAATGTTGATAAAGCATTATATTTATTTCTTTAAAGTATTTTATTATTTTACAAACTTGCTCATCCTACTCTTAAATTAAAAACGATACAGAAATTATTATATACAATAATGGTATATTGAAATATTGAATATTTTAATTCCTTTGTTACTGACGACATTTCTAATTATGTTCTACATAATCAAGTTTTTAATGTAATTAAGAGTGTTTTAAAAATTCTTTATATAATAAAAATCATGGTATAATGTTTATAACATAACATGTTTGGAAAGAATGAAGTAAAACGACTGCATAATAATTAATGATATTGTTGCGTAATCAGAACTCTTCCAAATGTTAAATATAAGAAAATTTATTATTTTATTTGAAAACAGATATATATTAGTATATTTTTTATAAAAACTGGAAAATAAAATAATAATTTAATAAATAACATAATAAATTGTGAAAATAATTATTGCATTATTTAAGAATATTATTAGAATATTAAACGACATATTATAAATAAATGGAAATATATTAAATTTTTATCTTAAATATCATAAATATATTAATTTTTGTTATAATTTTCCAGTATAGTAAAGATACATTTACGATTCTTTAAAATATAATTGTTTAAAATTAAGCGGTACACATGATGTCATATCACCGGTTCGCGGTACTGCTGCATGCGCCTGAATAAATTTTCAAATTATCAATAATTGATGTTCTATCGGTCGGAGTTCTATAGTTTAGATGCGGTGAGACAATAAGATAGAATACCATAAACGTTAAATCGAAATAGCGCAGATGTCATTGTGAGATAAACGAAGTCCGTTGCGTGATGCACATCAATGGCGCAGCTCATTGCAGCCATACGGTCGATAATCTGGACTAGTTTATGATAACCGAAACGAGTTGTAAACTAGAATTCCTCATTATAGATGGCACAAGATTATAATAGAGAAATTATAATGGAAAAGAGAAAATGTGAAGAATTTGATGGAAAAGTGACAAAGTTCGTAGCAATGCAGAAGATAACTTATTTCAGTATAAACTTGCTTAATATTAATTATCTCGATAACGATTTCTTAAATAGTGAAGTTATAATAAATGGGATTTTCATTTATTCTTTTAATATCTTAACCATTAATAATATATTAAATTCCATTGAATATGCACGAATGCTTTACTAATGAATACATTAATGTAGTTAATTTACGGGCTTTCTGAGATTGCGTATCTAACCATTTTAAAACATTGTCACGAATATATTCTAGAAAAGATTTTCACGTAACAGTATACACTATTGCAAATAAGTATTTTTTTTTTTTTTTTTTTTTTTTTTTTTTTTTTTTTTTTTTTTTTTTTTTTATAAATTATAATTCCGTGTAAACTTTACTTAAAAAGTTCCTACACATAATTAAAACTTGTATAAAATAAAAATCATAATGGAAACTATTTGAACAAAGATTGCCGAATGTTTTAAAGATTTTTAAAAGGCTCAAAAATAAGTCTAGTATATATCTAATAACTAAGAAATTCTTGATCAGTGCAAATAGTTTGAAAGATTTTACAAGATGGAAAATAGTGAAGTGAAAGAGTAAAATAATTAACCTTATAATTAAGGAATTTGTTTCAATAAAACTTATTAAAACAGTTGTTAATATCACTTAACCAAAATGTATAAAATTTAACAAACTCAAAATACTTTTTATTATTATAAAAAAATAATGATCATTGAACAAATATGGGCAATATAAAAGTCTGTAATTGGACAAGCCAAAGTTAAAAAGAATTTATTATAAACTACGAGGAAATAAGCGAAAGATATACAAATCATTTACAAATCAAACAGTTTACAAACTGCATAATTAATTCAAGCGCAAATATTGTAATTAATTATAATTAAAATAAGAAATAAACAAATAATATACAAGATTTTTTCAAATTCAATTTGAAAAATTATGAAATAATCAAAATTAGGGAAATTAAACTTAAAATAGTGAAAATTAAATATTTCACAATATAATGTTACAAAATTGCGCCTTTATAATACCAAATACATATATGAAAGATATGGTTTCGTATTGAACCGAAATTTTAAAAATGGAATGTCAAAAAAAAAAAAATACAAACTTATCTTTTGTTCGACCCGTTTAAATTTTTTTACTTATCCGATATACTTACCTTGCACAATAGATAACAGCATTTTCAAATAAAATAAAACGCAATGTTGTTTTAATAAAATTTTTGAAACATTTGCTATTATAAAGTTAAACAAGTAACAAAATATCTAATTACATTCATAGAAAAAATGTCACACTTTTAATATTGTATTTCTCACAGAAAATTTTAAGGGTTTTACTTATTATTAAGAAATAAATATTACAAAATAAAAATAATCGTAATAATAATATTCACAGATAATAGCAAGGAAACGTTTATATAATTGAATCTTTAATCACCAGTCATCATTTCCATGAACTCTGAAAATAAAAAACAGATTTTATATAATCAATTTACCCGAATATTTTATAAATATTTAATAATAATTCTATATATATATATAAATATAATGCGGTTATTATTAATTGTTTCTTAAAATAATCAAACCTCTATTTATATATTAAATGCTAAATTAATATTTAAAATAAATTTATAAGATTTCAAATATAAAAAATAAATATAAAAAATACTTTCTCGTTATTCTACTTTAAAAAAAAAAGTTGATTAAAATGATAATTTCACTTGACATATCGAATTTATGATATATAAAACCTCCATTTATTAGATTATTGATAAATAAGCTTTGAAATAAATTCAAATATTTAAATATTTAAGTTTTCAAATATTCTTATTTCTGAAATAAACTAGTGTTACATAATATTACACAAAATTGATATTTTTATCATTTTCTCTAAATCTGTTGTATGTAATTAATAAATTATAATTTATAAAATTTAAAAAATTGAATTTATTGTATTTGAGTAGAAATTTTTTACTTTTTTACTATACCGATATAAATTAGTGTAATATTAAATGAATAAATAAGTAATAAATATATTAATATAATATTAATAGTAGGTCCATTGATTTTGAAATAAAACAAAATTATTTTAATATCTTTTTAATATTCTCAAAAGTTATAGGAACATTTTATGTTCTCTCTTAATACATAATAGAAAAAACGCATCAAACAATATGTTTGAATGTAAATTTAGTTGTCTATAAATATTTTATTTAACTATAATAATGGACATTGATATTTCGCCTTTCCAAATATTTTTAATTTTAACTGATAAACCATAAACTGATTTCATGTTAACAAAATTTTAGTGCTTCCGTTTTCTCAAACATTTTATATCAAAGCCTCGACAGAAATGCTCAAGAGAACAAGTAGTAAATAGGTCAACTCGGTAAAAATCCTTTAATTCTCTCGTATTCGTGAGTGGAGATTTTGAAAAGTTTTGTATAAAAATTATACTAAGCCAAATAAGCACAAGTATTTTCTTTTAATGTCTTTATAAGAAATAACATGCTTGTCCTTATAAATCAAAAGAAAATAAAAATTTATAATTAATTGTTGTATTAGAAGTTACATAGATTATGAAATCTCAGATTTTTAACCGCGAGCTATTTTTATTCTAAAACTTCAAACTTTTTTTATAAAGATCTTCCATATAACTATTTCATATGTTCATATTCAATTAAAATTTAACGATCTTAATAAGAATTAAAGTTAACAATTCTGTATGAACAAGTAAACTTGCAATTATAAAGACTCTCTGCAGTCCCATATTGCGAACAAAATTCATTTGTTATTTTACAGCATTCATATTGCAAAATGTACAAAAAAAAAAGCTGATGAAAAATAGAGGGAAAAAAGTTTGTATGTTTGATACTTTTTTTTTGTTAATTTTATTTTATGTTCCGTATCCACATCCTGAATGTGTCTCAAGTATCAAATAGTACAGTTGTATAATAGATTAATATGTACCAATTATGAAAAGAAAATTGTTATTTTTTTCAACAGTTATTTTTTCATTTGTATATATTATTTTGTTAATACAACAAAGCTTAAGTTCTCATATTATAGAAAAGTTTTTGCTTCTTTAAATTATATTAATTGAAAACCACATTATCACATTCAAAATATAAGCCTTTATATTTAATTTAATTTATTTTTATTAATTTAAGTAGCCTCCTGTAATTGACTATAAATGCATATTAATACATAAAATTAATTTTTCTTCTTAATTATGTATAATTGATTAAATAAGATAAACAAACGATAATAATATATATGAAATATGACGTTTTATTATTTAAACCACAATAATTCGACTGATATAGTATTTAACTTGTAATTTTAAATAGAATTTAGTAATACTTTTTAGACCTAATAAAATTACTAAAAAGTTAAGAATAAGAATATTTATAGCAACTCCAAATTACTGGCAATTGCACAACACAGATTTTCCTAGATAGTATTTTGGCTAATATATTGCACAATTATAATTTGTAGATGTCTTAGTTGTAATAATAATAAAACAAAGGGAATGTTACCATCAAAATCAACAGTGCCTGAGCCGTCGGTGTCAATTTCTGCAATCATACCATCCATTTGATCAGGTGTTATTTGATCATCGAGAGCATGGAGGATCTCCCGCAAAGAGCTTGTTGGTATATATCCTTTCTCTTCCTTGTCGTATAGGCGGAAGGCCTCTTTTAACTCCTTCTGGAGAGCCTCGTCATCCTCCTCTTGGAAGTGGCAGGCTACTCGGAAGAATGAGTCGAAGCTTACAACACCGGTGCCTGAGAATTCAAATTTCTTCTTCTTTATGTTTTCTTGTTGGGATTGATAATAGCATATTCTATGTACGGATATGTTTGCTATCGTTGGAATTTGATATAATTTAATCATACAAATAATATTTTCTATAATCTATAGTTCTTTTTTTTCTCTTTAGAAGTTTGACTTAATTTATAATTATTAGTAAATAAGTATGTTTTTTCATTTTTATAATAACCCATAATTTATTGTAAAATCCGTAAAATGCCTACTTTATTACAATTTATTTTTAATACTTAATAAAATATTTTATCTATATACAATTGTTTAGTTATTTGCACTTAATTTCTACTAATAGCTTTAAAGCTACTTGTACATATAATAATGTAGACGAAAACTTCATGGAAAAGTGCGCTTACATTAAAATAATATTTAAATGCTTTAATTAAATTGCAAGAAAATAATGAATTAATTTTAACATTAATTTATTGTAATATTGAATTTTCTCTTCTTTTTTTTAGTATAATATAGATATCCATTATTAACAAATAAATAAAATTTGTTACTTTATAGCAGTCAAGTAATTGTCAAAGCACATACATTTTATTGGCTTTGAAATATGAGAATAATATAGTCAGCAGGGAAAAAGTTTTGAAATTTTGTTTTGAAAAATCTTAGGAAAGGTTAATTACTGTCAATTATTTGGAAATATAATATTAATTGAATGAAAATTTTTTGTGTCGCTTTCATTTTCTCTTTTTTTAATCCATTTCTCTTTTATTATTTTTATTTTATGTATCAAAGTATTATTTTAGTAATTTTGTATTCTGTGAAGATTAGTCTATAGAGCATATAGTAATATAGAAAAAGATAGATATAATTTTAGACACAACTATTTTTCTAAAAATAACACTGAATTCTTGTTCTTTCTAAATATAGTTACAAAATTTTCAGATCCTCTAAGCTTTGTTTTAAAGTAATATCTCGAAATTATATAAATATGAAATTTGATGAATAAACATAAAAATTATACTGATTAATTTGTGGAAATAAAACGTTGAAGTTCAAACGAAATTAAAATCATTTTACAATGAAATAAATTCATCGCGATAATTATAATAACAAAATACGTTCTATTAAGCTCATAAATACAAATAGCTCTGTGAATTCCAAGACACTAATAATAACAATCTAAACCATTTGAATTTATAGAATTTATAACTAAGGTTATCGATTTTACAGTATTAAGCAAATACCGAAGACCAAACTTCGATGAACTACTGAAACTACTGAACTGTTGCACTATTATTGAAATTTCAACTTCGAACGATAAACTTGTCCATATTATTATATCAAACCTAATCTCTTATATAAATTTACAAATTATATCAGCTTAATAATAACAAAAATTTATAATTAAAATGATTATATTCAGGTTTGCTTTTAGCATGTTTTGATAATATAGCTACTTTCTTATATTACTATTTGTATATTTTTTTAGCTTCAGAGATTTATTTAAGCAAAAAAAGCAAATGTAGAAAAGATATAAATTACTCGAAATCCAATTTATAGCCCTTGATTTGCTTTAATCTACTATTAGAGAGAAAAATGCTTTTGATCGTATGGATGTACAAGCTAATTAAGCCAGTACCGTATTACTAAATACACATTATCAATGTACCTTTACATTTTTTAAAACGATTATCCCGTTATAAATTGATTTGCAGTATATTTACATTTTACTTTCTAAAATATTTTTTTTAATTTTCCAATAATATCTACCTGAGGAGAATTATTATTTTTACTGTTTGAAAAATATACAATGAAAATAGAACAGAAATATTAAGAATTCAAAGTTGAATCTGCCAAATTGCTATTTTAGATTGCACTAATGATACAGTAAGCATATTTTATATATTTTTAAAGCTAAATGCATATTTAAATGATTGACTGTTTTTCAAACAGCAATTATAGAATAAGTATTTGATAAAAATTAATGGCAATTATATTTGAAAGTTGAATTAATTAATGATAAAATACAGGATGAAATAAAAAGATGGAGAAGTTTCAAATTTGTATTATTACATTTCAAATGGCATTAATATAGAGGCTTATGTGAAACTAAAGAATTTTAAAAAAAAAAAAAAAAAAAAAAAAAACTCGTACACAAGCTTTATATAGCAATTTCATGTATTTTCTATATCGTTGAAACATTAAAGTAGAACGACGAATTAATGTTGGAGTCTACAATAATTATTTGTACTATTCGAGTACATATAGTGACATATGCATTGTCACTAAAGAGTCAGCTTTATATATCTTTTACAGAATAATAATTCATTATTTGACCGCGAGTAAGTTAAGAGAACTCAGTGCAGATATTATCGTAGTGTGCGTAATATCCTGTACTAGTACGAGGCTCGGTAATAAAATTATGTCCGAGTCATTTAGCACTGCTATTTTGTGAAATAGTCACAAGTACTTTGTCTTACGCTACCACGTATTCTTTAAGCGTCTTAAAACGCCAATCATAATTTACTCGCAGAAATTACTAAACAATTCCATAACGACTTTACGTATTAACACTACATATAATGGCAATTCTAATGTTTATGTCATTGTTTACTTTATAAAAGATAGGGAGAGTGAAGACTAAACTTTGGTACGAAGAATACTTTACTTTCGATAAGAAAAAAATATATAGGGATAATAAAAATCTACTTTTCTCACTTATAAATTTACGACCCTTATAATTTTACTATCTATAAAGTGGTTGCGAAAAATTTAATTCGCTCCAATTTAATTAAAAGATACTCGCAAATGTATTTTGTCAAAGTATAAAAGAATTATTTTAAAATGAAAAGAAAAAGAACAAAAAAGTAATTAATTAATAAATGCTCATCCTAAATATTTATTATAAAGTCTATAAATTTTAATTACTTATATCAATTTTTTTATTTTATCGCTATCTATGATCCTCGTAGTGGCCATATTGTAAATTAGTTTTATATGAGAATTGATCAATAATTGAAAATGTTCCCCAACCTATAAAATTATTGATAGCATTTTTGTGCAACAATAAATATTATATTCAATAGAATAAATTATATTTAAAATAAATACAATATCGTCTTTTCTCATATCCATAAATCTTTGATAGTATTCATGATTTTAAATTAATATTTTCAGTAAACATTTTAGAGTGCTAATAAGATGGAATTGGAAGAATAGGGATAAATAACATTTTAACCCGGAATAATGCAGAATAATCCTTAAATGTATAAAACCATAAAGATAGGCAAAGATTGTCGTACACTACTTATATTGGCTTTGAAATATTCATAGTCATAATAATTATTTATTACAAATTACGTATTGTCCTAAATAGCAGATAAATAGATTTATAAATATTGGAATTGCCCTTAGATTTACAATATTAAATTTAGATTATTGTTTAGAATGAAAATTTGTTTAGATGGCAGACAATTATTGGTTCGTATGGGTTTGCATAATCAAAAAATTTCATAATTCTATATATTTTCAACATTAGGTTGAAAATTAATTTAAAAAATTTTGTTTTCTTCAATAATTAAGCTTTAATATATACTGACCCATTTTCATTCTTCATTTTCTGTTTTTTTTTTGTCAAATTTAAAATACAATCATCGACGAATATAATATATTCGAAGAAGAAGATTTTATGGTGATATAAGAGACTCTGTTTGCATGAGAGACGCTCAAAGGAAATGAAAATTTGATTTACGCAAGGATCTTAATAATTATTTGCCTTTGTCTATTAGGTCAACATAATTGTCGTAAAATCCCTCGACCAACTCATACATAAAGGAAGAACGCAGTTGAAAATGATATATATATATATATATATATATATATATATATATATACACATACATATATAAACGCTATGAAAGAAAACCTCCATTTTAGACGAGTTAGAGAGTGAGAAAAAGGATTTTAATTTACTTGTGTGAATCATCTTACCTTCAATATCCTCGGCTTTCAGCATAATGTCCAAATCGTGATCGTCAAAAGTGTGACCCAGAGTATTGAGGATAGTACGGACCTTCTCTTTTTCAATTTTGCCCGACTTTGACGGGTCAAACATGGAAAAAGCTCGCTTGAGCACTGATCACAAAAAATCGATATTTTTACTCTCCGCATTTTCGTGCAATAAAATAATTCACGCGCTTAAGTAATCATTCATTTCGACGTACTTTTTTAATTACGGCTTGTTACAAAAGTTTCGCCTCTAATTGTTAACAGACCGCACTCGATGATGATGATGATGATTATTATTATTATTATATAAGAAGCAATTGAGTTGGAAAAAGTTAAGCCGACGAAATAATTATAAAACGAAGAAGAATACAATTACAAATAGCTTTCTATAATTCAAATGCCGAACGGCACCTTATCGCCAAAAAGTGCACGCATACTTTTTAAGCAACGAACTTCTTAAAGATTAGACTGTAAAAGGCAAAAGTGGCTGCTTACTCTGAACCTGTTCCTCATCCTGAAACAGAAGATAAACTATAAGCAAAAGAACAATGGCAAGCCAATTTAGAAATAGCATCAAAGTCGGAGGGGAAAAAGCATTAATATGCAAGCGGCTACGCGGAAGCGCGCGTTCATTCCAAAGAGATATGCTATTTACGCCAGGGCTCGTATCTTTTGAACGTCTTCTCAGCGGAGTTTTTTTTTTTTTTTACCAAAAGAACACCCCATGGATAACGCGTTCGCGAATATCTCATCCATCTGCTTAATCTCACCCTCGTCCTTCTCGAAAATTACGCGCGGGACGTTAATCGCGAGCCCGAGATTGCAAAATATTGGTCAGCGGGCATCTTAGCCGCAGTCCCATGCATCGCGATCCCGCAAAGAGTCGTGCGCCTCGACCCCGGAGTTCCCCCTGGCCGACGGCGGCATTGCTCGCAAATCAGGTCCGCCCATTGACGGCCGACGGCCGACGTCCTCCCGAACGCACTCCTTCACTGCGCGCCAACCTTAAGAGAGCGTAAACACCCGCGCACTGACCATTATTTACTCCAGCTGGCCGTGTCCCGTGCAAGTCTCGCGTGTCCCGGCGCTGCCTTCCTTGGAGCAGGCTCCGCACTAACGCCCCGTCCGTCCACGGGGATAACTTTTATAACCTCCAGCCGAGTCTTTCCGCGGTCGTGGTGACGCCCCTTCCACGGCGGGCCGTGAACGTCCGCTGCCGGCTATAATGCTGTCGTTCGCCGCGAGGTGCCCACCGAACCAGCAGCCCCCTCTCGCCCTGGGCTGGCTCTCGTATCCGCTCCCGGCACTCGGCCCGGGATTTCTTCAGCGCGGGGGGCGCGGGGACTTCCGCTGCCTTGCCCCTGCGACGCCGGGCATCGCCGCGAGGAACAAATAGTCCCGCTCGTTAGCGTACACTTTTAGGGCTGCCGCTCGGCTGTAATCGCTCCGCCGAGATATTTTCACGAGACGAAACTTACTATATTTTCTAATTCTTTTTTAATGAATAACGCGCGCGCTCCCTCCATCATACTAGAATTATAATTTCTGGATAAATTCCAAGGACAGTTTTACTTCACCGCGATTATTTAAAGCCTGGGTTATCTAATTTCATGCGCTCATTTAGCAAATGAGCGTGGCAAAGGTCGACCCAAGTCGTTAATATCATTCGATTAATGGAGCTCCATTATTCATTCAATGGGTGGTGAACGCGGACGAGCCTTACAAGTGAAATATTGCTATCTTTCCTATGTTGTAAAAGGGCTTAATCCGAGGATTTGGGCTAAGTAAGGTGGCATTGGATGGTCGTGCTTGAGCGTGGGTTGATTGGAAAAAAAAAAAAAAAAAAAAAAAAAAGAAGAAAAAAAGCAGGCCGACATTGATGAAATTCTGGATTTTCGTGAAAATGGTGCACCCCTCCAACATCCCTTACGGATAGAGGAGAAAGATGTTAAAAATTCGCACACGTTTGATGGCTCTAACGATAGGCACTATAGGAGCTTTAACGAAAACCAGACGATATTTCATTTACATTTACATATTTTCATTTACATGTAATAATTCATCGATAAATTCATATTAATTTCTTGACACGTGTCTTGGATAAGGTGAAATCCATGGCAAATGACGAATTTATCTTGTGAGTACAATAGATTATGAATATCGAAGCTTTCGACGTCAAATTTGCCAAAGTCAAATCAACATTTTCCATTTCATTTGATGGATTGCTTCTTGCGTACCTGTTAACTATTTTTCTATTAATAGATTCGCTCCACTGTTAATATCGTCGAAGTCGAGCGGCAATTTTAATAGAAAGTGTCGACTATTTCGATAAATAGTCTCATATTTAAGAGCGTAGAGAAATACTATTGCTGATTGTCGAGACGACGACAAAGCTCGAGCAAAGTGAAAGAGAAAGAGAGGGCGGGAGTGAAGCCAAGAAGAACTCACGGCTATTTCAAAACACTTCCAGGCTATGATACTGCTGTTTTCCATGCGTTGGTATCGTCGTCTTCGCCACTGCCGTCATCTTTGGCATCCTCGTCGCATTTTTGTCGAAACGAAAATTCTTCGCTTCACTAAAGATGTTGTTGCTCCATTCGACTCGAAGCCCTCTGTATACATTATAACTATTGATACGGCAAAGAGTGCGTGGATAAATTGACGTAGGTGAATGTTTATGTATAATAGCGTTTGATGTGACATTCATCTCGAATGCTAATCTTTAATAGCTAATTTTTCTTAAATAAAATTTGCAATTTTACAAGCTTTGCGCTTTCCTAATAATCCTTATTATTCTTTCTTGTTTCTCGACAGCTTCGTTAATTTAATTTAGAAACTCATAATCATGATGTATTATGATTGTTATATAGACTATACGATATTCTATTTTCAATCAAAAGCACTGTAATGTAATGTTTTATTTTCAATTAAAATTTAAACAAGTATAAACGAGGGGTGACGTAATATCTAATTTGATTAGACAAACCATCGTCAAGGTAGAAAATTCTTTGAAACTTATCCTCCTAGAGTGAAAGCGACTTTTCAGTTTGTCGGGCTTAAATTATAGCGGAAAAATATTTAATTAACAGATTTTCTATTTTTAATAAAAGTTTCATTAAAGTGTAAAATTACTTACCGAAGCCTACGTAAATTGACAAATAATAAATGACTTCCCAATGACATTCAGCATAATGGGATTTCAGTGTCGGTTTCAAAATGATGGGTCGATTCGCGATGCGCGTTAAATGCGTAGGTCGTACATCAAAATTTTAAATAAATGTGCTTTATGAATGCGAGGCGCTCAAAGTCTTAAATAAATTATACTTTATTTCTATGCAAGTGGCGGCGATGTAAAACAGATGTGAACATTGGATAAATCCCACCAAACATAAGTCCTCGATGATTTTTACAAATCATCCATCAATTGCCGATTATTTTGTAAATTGTTCTTTAATTTTACAACCTTGGATACGTAAATCCGTAATTCAATGACGAATTATCGTAAAATTTATAATTAATAGTTCATCTGTAAAAACTTTTATAATTGATTTCTACAAATTTCTGAAAATTCAAATTCAAATCTTCTTGCAAAGTTAACAAAATAGAAAATAATATAATTTTTATATTCCATGCATAATTAATAAAAGCATAAATGTTACTTCATCATCCATTACATTTGGATTGATATTATTAATAAAATATTGTTAAAATTAATTACACTACGGAATTATCGTATACCCTTGACTGTTAGATGTTTATTTTCATAGGTAATGCTATTTTTATTGTAATTATAATCAAAGACCTAGTGTTTAAAGTTCTTTAGATTCTTCGAAGATGTAACTAGCACATTGACTGACGCGAAGAAGAAAATATATCTATTTTTAAATGAATCCACTCTATAAAATTGAAAATATCGCATTTCCCAAATATTGTTCGTTTTTCGATAAAATAATAAAATGTGAACGAATGTATTTATCAAAGAAAAAGTTTTCCGCTTCGTCATAGTAAATAAAGTACAATCTGCTTTTTTCAATATTACTATTTCGATGATTTTCAAAAGTGTCACAAAACATGTGACAATGATTATCATTATTCTGCAAAACCTATCGGCAATAAATAATACCATGATACAACTCATAAAATTGATACCGCGATAAATACATAGACAATTATTTCAAGCTTGATAATGAAAGAATGCAATAATTGATATGAATGGTCTATTTAACGGTAAGTGGGCGCGTCGAGTCAACAAACGGACCTTATCTTGATTAGGTAGAAGTTTGAATGTGCACCGATGGCGCGCACGCGTTTAATGTGTAATTTGGCGCTTATGCCAAGTAGCCGGTTAATCTATAGCTTCGAGGAGGCTGTGTGCGAACCGATCGTCGTGTATGCGGAAGGGCATCCATCCAGTTAAATGCATCGCGAGATCTTCATCCCGTGCAGCTTTAAGTTTACAAGAGGAATATAAAGGTTGACGCAAAAAAGCTCCCTCGTCTAGTATTACTTTGTCATAGGGCAATCATGTGATAAATTTAGAACCTTGAAATTTGCATGTCAACGTTTGAAGCACAATTAGCGCATCAGATTTAGTGAATTATTTTTGTATGTATATTTTTAATTATTACGTTTGAGAGAAGATCCATTTATTTATAAGCTTTTTATATGCATATGTAATAGATTTTTCAATAATTTATTACATTAAATACATTGACAATACCAACAAATATACTCGTTAAAATCGTTAAAATAAATAAACAAACTATGAAAATATGGTATTTCGGCGTTAATTTTCTATGGGTTTATATGCGATTATTCTATTTATAATTCCGATTATAATGCGTTCGTATATAGATAGAGAAGTGCGCTTGAAATATCATTTTATTGAAAATGCGTACGACGATTGGTGATAAAAGAAATTAAAGCGAATGTTAAATATTATTTTATATTATCTAACAAAGTATATGGTATATATCTGCATGTTATAGATACAAAACAAAGTCATAAGATTATCGATCTTATGTACAGAATAATTTTAAGACTATTACAGAATTATAATGAAAATATATAGCCCCGAATATATGGATAAAAGTCAATTAAATATCCGAAAGTCACAATTTTTGTTATACGAATTAAAATAGTAAATTCTCTTTAATTTGTTGATGTGTTAATTCGATAGTTAATTACGATACAGCAAATATAGAACAAAGAAGTCCTTTTTCATGAAGCACAGTAAATAGTGTTTGAATTTCTTAATTAAATTGCGTCATCGTAAATTAAAGTACTAAATGATAATAGTACAATAAAATTATCAATTCTCTCGTGATCGACGGTGGATATTTTTTAAACTTGTAGTAAAATAAATATTGATCGGAACGTTTGAAAAATTGATTACACATAACATCGTACGGCGAAATGTATTTCGCAGTATCAAGTGGACGCTTAAATATCGAATTAAAATAATTTTGCAATGGATTCTTTAAAACAATTAGTCAAACAAAACTAGGTTACAGTTAAAATGCACTTGCATGGTTTATGCAATCACCGTGACTTTGCAAATTTTAATTTTGCAAAGCTAGCTGAAATTTTGGTATAAGCAACTTGGAAAACTTGAAGCGCCAATCCTGTTTAAAAGCCTCTTCGTACAAGTTTTTTTTACCTTAACAATTTCGATGTAAGGAAGCTCATGAAACTAATTTATCCCTAATGTAAAAAAAATTATGATAGACATTTAAAGTTGAACCTCGTTATCAACTAGGACTAAACAAAAGACTATATAGAGTTCAGGCTTCATTGCAGAAAATATGTGGAAGCACGCAATAACCCGCTAAGCCCGATTATTCTTCTATCTAACCTCCCACGAGAGAGAAGAGGCGTAATTTCGAGCAGCCTCCCATAGGAGACAAGTAACAACAGCGGCCATCCGATACAGTAACATTATAGTTCTGCTGACATGCAGTCGCAAATCCTATATTCCTTCAATCTCATCATATTCTCTCGCTTCCGCGGACATAAAGTCGCTATGTTTCTCAATCTGGCAGACCGCCCTCGAAAACTTTACTAATTAACGGCGTTTAGACTTCGACCGCGACTATTATCGTTGCAATTGCCGTTTGTAGAGCACTGGCTCAC